TCTCTCTCTCTCTCTCTCTCTCTCTCTCTCTCTCTCTCTCTCTCTCTCTCTCTCTCTCTCTCTCTCTCTCTCGCTCGCTCGCTCTTTTGCACACATACATGCGCTTGATAACTCACACAGTCAGCTGTGTGTGGAGGTGTTTTGAAGGAGAGCGAAGTGGAAGGTGTCATGCCTCTTGCGTTGGCAGCGAAGAGGCCGTGCGGTTGTAGGATTAGGTTGGTTTGCGTATTTAGCCTGTCTGGTTGGAGATGGGTTTTTGCTGAGTAAAGCATATCCCTCTCTTTTTTCGTGTCTGCAATCTTATCATTGTCATTGAGGAAAATGTGTTCAAGGTCGTTGTAGTCTTTGGTGTCTCGTCTTGGTGTTCTGTCTTGTCTCTCCCCTATTCCCCACTCAGTGGAAGTATGCCTCTGTTTTTTATGCACAATTTCCCACGGCCCAACCAACCACGTCCCCTCTGCTTTTCATCACAACGATGGTGACCCTGCGGTTTAGTGAGCAACCGCTTGCGGTGCATCTTTCTGAAGGATGACCTTTTTTTTTTTCCAAGTATATTCTCTTGTGCAGGGCAGAAGATGCCAATGTTCTCTGTATATTTCCAGTTTTAACAGATGTCCTGAAGGGCGACACCGATACCCATCCCGTTTCTTCCACTTTTTTATCCTGTGGTCGATCTCTCCATGGCTCAGAGAATTGAGTGGAGCCAGAACTTGTCATTGTCACTTGGCTGGGCTTGATGTAATGCATGCTACCGTCTTCCCCCGAATATAACGCATTGTGATAATTAATGTATACAAGCTATATTCCCGATCAGGTGCAGCCAAAATGTGGGTGCGTTGTGTTCGGGGGAAGACGGTATTCGACCGCTGGCACGAGTATTTATGGGGGGGGGCTTGGTTGCTGGACTTACCTTGCTTCGTTTTGCTTTGCTTTGCCTTCACCCCCGTAGCGTGATGCAATCATCGTTGATTTGCATTGCTGCACTTGGGGTAGCGATATCGTAGTCTGATGCAAACATTGTCGACTTGCATCGATGCACTTGGCAGCGCTAGCGTTTTCCCCCGATCACCTTGTGCCCGCGTTATGCCTGTACTGGACTGGAAACACAGCATGCTGATACATTCAATATCAGGGTGCGTTATGTGTGGGGGAAGATGGTAGTTAGTGCTGAACTCCCTGTCTCGTGGCTCTGGCATGCCTTCCTGCCCCCCTCTCCCTCTGCGCAGTTGTTCCCTAACACCCTTGTAACAATAGTGTGTACGGTGTTTTGGAACAAGCAAGCAGAGATTATATTTATGAGCAATATTGCTAGCTGTGGAGGAGTGAAGTAGAAGGAAAAGAAGAGAGAGGATCGATAGTCGATGATAGTCATGATTGACTGCAACAAACGCCCTGCTACCTTCTTGCCCTAAATGCTGTGCGTGGTCATTATCGCAGCTGTATTTAGTGCAACTTGTTTCAGGCCAGACAGATGCAGAGGTAAAATGACCGGGCATTATTATAATTATTGTATTCTGGGGACGGAGGAAGAAGCAGTTTAGTGCCTGCAATCTGTCAGCCTATCTAGCGACAGAACTGAGAAGCTGGGACAGCTAGAGAGAGAGCATCCTCAGACACTTGGGACTTTTTCCACTGGCCTATGAACTGAGAAGTTATTGATCTGGCTGCTGCCATTGGGCAGAGGTTTGCACAGCGCGCACTATTGGTTGAATTCCATTAGTACATTGAAAGATGTTTCCGGTGTATAATGGAATGCAACCAACTTTGAGTCTAGATACAGCAATAAGGACTGTACGTTGTATCGAGCACAGTAGCCGCATATATGTGTAGAAAGCTTTTAATGGAATTCATTTGAAATTTAGCTGTGCAAACCTGCGTACTTTGATGGCTGGCTATCGATCTGACTTGAGCTGCTGTTTCTCTTCTGCTGCTGGCCGGCGGGTTGAGAGGCGAGGCCAATTCTGATGCTTCGCTGAAAGATCTTCGTGGAACGAATGGGTTAAAGAGTGTTTTTCTTTTTCTTTTCACACCCACCCACCCACCCACACACACACACACACGCACACACGCACACACACACACATGCATACACGCATATTCGACCTTCTGATGAGTCGGTGAAAGTCGGACGAAACAGTCTGTTCGGTACAGTCATGCTCTTTTTTTTTGAGTGTCTAGCGAATATGACAACACACTCGTGTCCCGAGTGGTGGTGATGTTGTCTTTTCCTGCCCTCGCCAAATAGCGAAAGGGGCAGTGGCCTTAACATCCAGCGGGGCCTAACTCAGCTGGTAAGGCACGCAAGTGGCATCCAGCCATCGTGGTCCGGTACACCGAAGCCCTAAAGGCGCAGCGCGGCAACTGGGAAGTGCCGCGGCCGATAGCTCCATCTATTGGTGGGGAGCATCACCTGCTGGAAAATGGGTCAAGCGTCCCATTGAGTACATGAATGCATGAATGCTTGAGTACATGGTAAGATGAAGAAACAGTGGGTTGTGTTTGCTTGTTTTGAAAAGGGGCGACGGCCTTGAGATATCAGCAATCACTGAACTGACCGGTCCAACGTAATTCAGAGTTCTATCTTTTAAATTTTTTTTTGTTCATCTGATTGCATCTGGATTTGAAGCTGGGTCTGCAATACCCTGTATTTCAACTGTTCATGGGTTTACCTTTACCAACTGAGCCAGTGGTTTATGTCTTCTATTTGGTTGCCAGCCAACGCACGTTGCCCGTATATTCACAATACTTGGGTCTGAATATTTCCTCTAAGTTTGGAAACATTCATTGATGTATTCGCATTACTGGGGTCTGAATGTTTTCTCCAAGTGTGGAAACATTCATTGACAGGGACCGGCTGGAATGGTTATTAACCATTCCGTACTGCAAATTATTATCAAGTCGTGGAGGTGACGTGGAGCCGGAAAAAAAAAAGGTGTACTTGCACCTGCACTCGCTTTTCTAAAACGTGGATGCACCTGACTGTAATCACGTCCAGAGCTGAGTTGAAGAAGTCATATGTAAAAATATGAAAGAAGCCCTGAGTAAGAATATGAAAGAAGTGCTGTGGAAGAATATGAAAGAAGTCCTGTTGAAGAATATGAAAGAAGTCCTGTGGAAGAATATGCGCTTATTGGTTGCAGCCAAGGGATCTCAAATGTTTCGTCTGAATTTATGAGGAGGACTACATGTGTCGTTGATGTCACGATAGAGGTTTTTTCTTTCCTTCTCCTATGCTAAGATCTTCGTGCTCTCAACGTGAATTTTGCTTCTTTTTTTTTTTTTCCGTTTTTTCATAAGAATGTTAGCATGGGAAAATTGTAGCAGAAGTCAACTGTATTAGCTGATGGACATAAAGGTCTTTGTAGGTTTTCTAATGATTCTGCACCATTCACCAGAGTCAATCCAGCTCGTCAATTGCATTGGGGTTTTCTCTTGATGTACCTGACTGGAATTCACCTTGAACTGGATGTATCTGAGCGCAATTCCATCCATAGGCCAGTGGAAAAGTCCCAAGTGTGTGAGGATGCTCTCTCTCTCTCTCTCTCTCTCTCTCTCTCTCTCTCTCTCTCTCTCTCTCTCTCTCTCTCTCCTTCCTTCCTAAATAGGAAAGGTTTTCAGTATTTCAACCTCCGGATTTGGGTCGAGGATATCGCGTTCTGGATTTGGTCGTCCTGAAGGGCAAATTTCTTCACCCCGATACAAAGTGCAGTAATTGTCGCTGTATTTAGACTGAAAAATAGCCCAAATACGGTTATAATGACTGTGCAGTGTATTCGGGTGAAGAAGGTAGTCGCACCACTAAGAGTACCCCAAGATTTTGAAATCATATGGACAACATGGATGTCCAGATGCATTCTGGATTCGGCCGGATTGACAAGCTGGACCGGAAGAAATTGTCTGATAATTTACGTGGAGGATATCTCGTTTTAGGTCAAAACAACTAACTCCACCCAGCGGAATTGTTTGAAAATTTAGGTCGAGAATTTTGGATGTATCTGAGTGCAAATTTGTCAATAGGCTAGTCCAAAAAGTTTGTAGCGTATGAGCATGCTCTGCCTTTCCTTGATAGGACAGGTTTCCAGTATATACCCCTCTGCATTTAGGTCGGTGATATGATGTTTTGGATTTGGTCGGCCTGAAGGCTGACCTTCTTCACCCCAATACAAAGCGCGGTAATTGTTGGTGTATTTAGACTGAAAGATTTTGCAAATACAGTTATAATGACCGTGTGCTGTATTCGAGTGAAGAAGGTAGTCGCACCACTAGCAGTCCCCCAAGATTCGGCTGAAATAACAAGCTCGACCCGGTGGAATTGTTTGTGTGTGTGTGTGTGTGTGTGTGTGCTGTCTCTTATACACATCTAGATGTGTATAAGAGACAGATATTGAATGCTTTCATCGGTTTCGTAACCATGCCGAAGCCCTCGGCGCCCTCCGCGACTGTCTCTTATACACATCTAGATGTGTATAAGAGACAGGTGTGTGAGAGAGAGAGAGAGAGAGAGAGAGAGAGAGAGAGAGAGAGAGAGAGAGAGAGAGAGAGGTGCGTGCGCGCGCGCGCACGATTGGTGGTGGGGGGGGGGGCGAACCCTCCCTCACGATTAATCAATCAATCAATCAACCAACCAACTAACACCAATTAATCAATCAACAAATGTTAATTGATCAATCAACGAACACCAATTAATCAATCAACGAATACCAATCAATCAATGAATCAATCATCAAACGACCATCCCTATCAATTAATCAATCAAGATTTTTATTTTTTTTTGAAAATTGCTTTTGACCCACAGCCTCCACCCCCGCCCAAACCGAAAAACGATTTAAAAAAAAATTGTTTTTGCTAGGGGGCGGGGTTGGGGTTGGGGTTGCGCAACCCCAATTCGCCACCCCTACCCCTGCACCCCCACCAGCCTGGCCGCGAAGGCGCCCGCGTGGTGCACGACCGCGGTCACGATCGCCCTCAACCTTCACCGCACGGGATGCATAGATTCAGGCTGATCGAACATTGTAATGTATTTAGACCCCTTACGAGCTTCAAAAACATTTCAAATGTTGTGCAATGGAATGAAGATCCTGCAGTAACATTTAAATAGTGACCTTTAATTTCTCCTGTTTCTGCTTGAGATTTATAAATTGCTTCTGCTAATAAGAATTTCTCTCTCCATCACATATAAGGCCGAGAGTTCACATTTTTGTCATCTTTTGTAAAGTCAAGTCCACCTCGAAGATATTCATATACAACTCTGCCATGATTTTTAGCAGATAATTTGGGTTTGGTAGTACATCCCAAAAATGGTCATCCATACTTATTTAGTTTATCTCTATCAACCTGAATACCACGAGTGGGCCTCTAAGTTCTAACATATAGGAATATGGAGATTTTCCATCTCCTAGAATGTGCCTCCAATTTAAAAAATCCCTAGTGCGTGAGCATGCTCGTTCTCTCCTTGATAGGAAAAAAAAGAATTAAAAATCCACTATTTCAACCTCCAGATTTAGGTCGAGAATATCGTGTTTTGCATTTGGCCGGCCTGAAGGCTGGCCTTCTTCACCCCGATACAAAGTGCGGAGGTTTGGCTTATTTTGATCAGTTTTGGTTTTCCACACATCTAGGCGCTGCGACTTTCTTCATTCCAATCGGAATACAGAGACTGAAGATCAGCACGTTGAAGGTTGGTCACCAAACAAACGGTGGCTTTGTCGGTGATCCAGGGATTTCAAAACAGGGAACGTTTGCATGGTTCATGCTTGTTTTTTTACTTGCCAAATTGAAATTTTTGAGGAAGCCTCTTCCACCATCCTGAGAGGATAGAGACCCCAATAGCGGATATATTTTCGGTGGGATGGGGATGCCTGACGAAAATACAGCGCCTAAAGCGGGGTCAGTTTTCTGCCGCTGTTCAGGACATTCATTCCCCATGGTAGGTGTCAGCAATGATGCAGCAGTTTCATCACCTATTCAAATGAAGGGGGCCAACATCTCCATCGCTGAATACGAGGATGAAGAAACGAAGAACGAAGAACAAAAGGAGAAAGGGCAAGAAGGAACGACAGCGGGTGAGGAAGAAGATCGAGGACCTGACCCATGTACCTATCTCAAAGGAAAATGGGGATAAGGGTACACCTACGAAGATTCTTACTCTTAAGATCGACGGAGTAACGGATGAGACTGTACGGATCGTTAGCCTACTCCGGAAGTTGGCAAAGAACGAAAAAGGGAAAGAATACAAGATGAGGAGTAACAACGGGTCAATTTGGACAGACAATTGGCGGGTGGTGAGGAGACTATTCGGCGAGACGAAGGTGCACGTAGGCAAGAGAACCAGGCCACTGAGAAGGTGTAAGAAGATGTTGGAACAAGGAGTGGTAAAAATTCGTGACTGTATTGAAGCGTCACCATCAACATTGAAGCTTAAGGAAGAATTCGTGAAGATGTTCAGATTCAAGAAGAAACAGGGTAAATTGAACAAATTGCAGATTTGTGATTTGACTCGTTACTATGCTGCTGCAAAGATTTTTTCGACCAAAAGAAGTCGATCTAGGGTCAAAAAGATGATTACTGATGTGGTGAAAGTAAAATTTGGGGTGCAAATGAATAGGCATGTGATCACGAAGGTGAGATTTGATGAGCGGGTGAAGAAGGGGGAAGTGATAAGGTTAGTGAAGAGGAAGATTGGTGGGCTACCTCTCGGTGGTACGTTGAAGGATATGGTAAAGCGACGAACCCGAGTAGTTTGGACACGGGGTCCAAACGTCGGAGATGTCATCCACAATCATCGCCGAACGGCGAGTGGAGCTGCTAGGTGCAAATGCACTGGATCGTCCCTGCCTAAGGAAAAGGGACATGCCCATTTCTGACTAAGTGCATGGGAG